CTATCTATCTATCTATCTATCTATCTATCTATCTATCTATCTATCTAATCCTCCGGTCTGTCTACAATCTAGCTATCATCTATCTATTTCTACCTATCTTTATTTTATCTATGTATATTGTGGCCTTACCTTGTTTTAAGAATATTCAGAAACTGTAAGATTTCTGAGAACTGAATCAGCCTAAGAGCTCGCAAAAATCTTAAACCTGTAATTCAAACAGAAAAAAAAAAGAAGTCAAAAAACACTGTACATTGTACATTAAGAAACGTTTATAGTGTCATGAAATACTTAAGCTGTAGAGCTTCTTACAGGGGTAAAGTTATGTTAGGCATTGTACATCTACATAAAAAAGATTAATAGTTTGGAAAATAATAATAGTTTCATATCACACTGGAAATGAAGTCAACCACTGAAAATTCAGCATTCCTTGATACAAACCTGGGAAAAGTCCATTTTTCGCTTGTGTAGCCTGCCAGATCATTCTCATATCTGTTAAATATTTGTATCCGAGAATGTTGCTTGCCATGTGCCATTTCATGAGGAAAGCCTTTGAAAAGGGGTCTAGGATAATCTCAAAGGTCTTCTAGACTAATTCTCTGCCTGTGGCAGGAAATCCTATACCATTCTAGACAAATGGTTGTCCAGTCTCCTCTTGAAAACCTCCAGTGATAGAGTATCCAAAACTTCTGAAAGGAAGCCATTCCATAATTGTTTTCACTGATTAATTGTCAGGAAGTTTCTTTTTAGTTCTAGGTTGGATTTCTCTTGGATATTCTTCCCTCCATTACTTCTTGTCTAGTTCTTTGCAGTCTAGGTTGACCCTCTCATCCCCATGACAGTGCCTCAAATACTGGAAGACCAGCTATCATGTCACCCCAATTCTTCTCTTTGTTATACTAGACCTACCTAGTTGGTTTGAAGCGAAGAGTACGATGAACCATTGAATAATTGGACCATGAACCTCGCAATGGTTCATTGTACACTTTAGCCTCCAGACGCCTAATCGTCTTTGTGACGCTTCTCGCCACACTTTCTAGAATCTCAACATATTTTTTTTATATCGTGGTTGACCAGAACAGTATTCCAAGTGTTGCTTCACCAATGCAGCATAAAGATCATGTGATCTCGAAACTATCCCTCTGTTGAAAGGTGCAAGACTGCATTAGCTGCACAAGTAGCTGCAGCACATTGCTGGCTCAAAGTTAAATGGTGTTTTAAGTGGTCTACCAGGCCACTTAGAACCCTTTCACAGTGACTACTGTGAGATTACAGATTAACAAGAGTTGGAAGAGACCTTGTAGGTCATCTAGCCCAACTCCCACCCAAGCAGGAAAGGCCCTACACCATTTCTGACAGGTGGCAGTCCAGTCTCTTCTTGAAAGCCTCCAGGGGTGAAGCTCCCACAACTTCCGAAGGCAAATTCTATTCCATGGGTTGATTGTTCTCACTGTCAGAAAATCCCTCCTCATTTCTAGGTTGAATGTCTTCTTAATCAGTTTCCATCCATTATTCCTTGTCTGGTCTTTGAGTGCTTTGGAAAACAGCATGACCCCCTCCTCTCTGGCAGCCCCTCAAATATTGGAAGATGCTAAATATTGGAAGATCCCCTGGTTCTTCTCTTCACTAGACTAGCCAGGCCCAGTTCCTGCAACCATCCATCACATGTTTTAGTCTCCAATCCCCTAATCATCCTGGTTGCTCTTCTCTGCACTCTTTCTAGAGTCTCAACATCTTTTTTTCTAGTGTGGTTGAGCCATACCTTGAGAACGCCTTATATATAATTGCCTTAGCTGTAAATTTAAGTGAGGTCCAATCAGTAACCTGAACATTTCTTTAACTGTCTTACTTCTATTAAGCTTTTTCTCATCACTCAGAGATATGGGAGCTCAAAAGCTGAACAGAGGCTCAATAAACGCAATATAGACTTGTTTGCTGTGTTTTTAATCAAGAGTGTCAATTTTTATAGAAGATGCCAAGTATACAATTAGATTAACTGGAAAGTTTGCCTTTTAGAAAATAATTTAGATAAATAATACCATGTTTCCAGTTGGTAGGGACAGAACAGCATAAGGCTCATCCATTTCTAGGGGGGGAAAAAAACTTACAAAAGTAGAAAGTGTGACTCATTTTTAATGCCGATTGAAGTATAGGAATTGATAATAATACCAGAAGGACAATTTGCATTCTGCTTTCACTTGTTTAAATGAGTACCTTACAAGGCCTTAGAAACTTTCAAGAAGGAACTGGACTGCCCTCTGTCAAAAATGGTGTAGGGTCTCCTGCTTGGGGGTGGTGGTGTTTAGACTAGATGACCTACAAGGTCCCTTCCAACTCTGTCAATCCGTATCACAGGGATATTTCCAAAACAGTTTGGAAGTATTACACCCAAAGTTCTTCAGTCTTTGCTATTCTTTCCAAAAATTGTTTTGGAAATATCCCTGGGATATTTAAGGCCTCATAAGATGTTCATGGAACTCTCCATCAGCACCTAGAGCACCTGTCCATACCCAATCTGAGACACATTTTTCACACCTTTTCATCTGTGCACAGACAACACGGGCTGTTTTGAACCAAACACAGACTGAAATGGGGCTTCCAGGGGTCCGAGGGAAGAGGGAAATGTGGGGAAAAGGAGAAGAATGGTAGTGACAAGATCTGAGGGGAGAAGAGGAATGGCCAGTCAGTTTCCTGGGGCGCAATCCATCAGCTCATCTTTCTTGATGTTCTTGAAGTTCTCAGCCACTGGCCCACCCATAATCTTCTCAGTATTTCTTCTCCTCCTGAGAGACAGGGGATGTGCCACTCTAGACACCCAAAACATTTGAGGGGAGGGGGAAAAGGGGGGGAATGGAAAAGTAGGGAAGATCAGGAAAAAGGGAGTTGAGAGAATGTGCCACGCTGGGAATGCTCTCCCAGAAGAACCGTGGGGAGTAGCTTTGATCCTCAACCTTGCCTCATCTAGAATTTGTTTCATCCAAAATCCAGAACAATCAAAATGTCCCCAGGTTTTGTTTCAGCCAAACGAATGCAGAAGTTTCTGGTATGAGAACAAATTGGTTTTCTAACACCGGGCACCTTTCTAACAATGCCATTTTTAAAACGAGACTGGGGAGAATCCCAGAGAAAGCACAGGTAGAAAAGAGAAGGCCATGGATATATAAACTGAAGGTGAAATTAAAAGAAAGAAGCTTGCTGGAGGAGAAAACATTCACTCGCTTAGATTTGAGGCTAATGGCTTAGACATTGGCAAGGGTGTATCTCCTGGAAAATCTCAGTGATACCTTAAAATTTAGGCTGGCTTTCCAGAATGAAGAGAAGGAAATGAGATCCCTAAAATGTTTAACCCAGCAATCCATTTTAACAAGGCTATTCTTATTAAAAAATACTTAAAAACAGTTTTACCTTTCTGTGTAGATTAATAATCATAGGTATTAAGAAAGAGGGAAGTAATGGAGGTACTAGCAAGGAGAAGAAATATTAAAGGACAAAAAGCGGATTCGAAGAGAAGGATTATTTCTATTTTTAAATGATTTCTCCCTAAAAGAATAATGCTTCTTTTAAAGAAAGGACAATAGAAAGGGATAGATGTGAGAAATAACGTTTAAATAAAACACTATTGCTCTCATCTTGTTAAAACATCTCAGTTTAAAAAAAAATCCCCTTTCTGTTATTTAAAAGAAAGTCCTAATAAAATAATTTTCTTCGGCTTCACAAATTACGAGGAAGATGAGAAGGGGGGGAATCCTTTGCTCCCAATTGATATGGAAACACTTCATATTTTGCATATAAATCATTGCAGAAAGAAAGAAAGAAAGAAAGAAAGAAAGAAAGAAAGAAAGAAAGAAAGAAAGAAAGAAAGAAAGAAAGAAAGAAAGAAAGAAAGAAAGTCCCTCAGTCAACTGAAAGTTTCTTACCCCAGTGGTAGCCAACTCTGTAACAAGAGCCCAAACTCTGTCGAAATGTCTGTGTCTCTTCCTTTTCCAGGTTACTCTGCCCAGATTTGACTCGGTATCCATTTTTAAATAAATCTCCATGGGATTTCTTTCGGCGAGGTTTAAAAGTTTCTGTACGGCTACCCCCTGAAGGGATGTTGTAGACCAACATCTTGGTGGGAATCATGGCAACACAACTTAGAAGGATCAGCAAAACATGCTTTCCTTTTGAGATTTAGGCTACCGGAAATCCGTTGGGTAGCTGAGGGGGTGAGATATTCTGCCTCTGGTTTTATATCAAAACATATTTCAGGATCGCTGCAGGAAAAGGCATTTCTGCTCCTTCGCCCTTTCTGCTTCCTAGCCTCTGAAGAAAAGTGCCAAAGCAGGACTGAGTTGTTGACGGGGGGAAAAAAATGGATCTTGTTTGATATCTATAATATCACGGCTTAAAAGGCCTTCCCTATCCGGATATTGCTATATAATCTTCTTTCATACCCTCTCCAAAATGTATCCTTCCAGCTGGAGAAATCAAAACAGATTAGCACTCTGAAGAAGGGAGATGAGCAAGTGCTTTTGTGGATTCTACGAAGGACACAGCTCACCCTGACAGGTTTTTAATTCGCACAAAACGAGGTTAACTTCCACTGTTCCACATTGAAAGAAAACTATAATATCCTGAATGTTTTAAGCTGCTGTACGGCAAGGCACACAAGGCAAGATATCGATAGGTTGGAACAATCAGCCTCTTCAACCGGATCTACAGGCCACAGAGAAGTCCCCTCACCTGCATACCTCTAGATGTTGTGGGCCAACAGTGGCTAGCGGACCTGGCGGCAGATTTGGACAGTGAAGAGGTTCAGGAGGAACATGGGCTAGTCCCTGAGTCTGGGGAAGGCTCTGTGTCAGAGGCAGAGATGGGGCCAGGGCTGTCTGACAGTTATCAGCTGCCTTTGGAATCAGAAATCAGTGGGGCAGAAGAACAGCTGGAGCCTGTTCCCAGAGTGCACATGCGCAGAGCTGCCAGTCGAAGGGAACAGTTAAGGAACAAGGGTCAATTTGGGAGTAAAGGCACAGTGGATGGTGAATGGCCCCTCCCATAGGGAATAAAGAAGAGCGAAAGGGGAGTGCTGCTTGCAGGAGACAATAATTTCAATTTACTGGGGTGAAGATCTGTTCCTGACTTCTTGGCAAGTCATTGCTGCTGCAGCATGGTGTTTAGAAGCTATCAGCCTGGCAGTTCTCCAAGCCTGATAAAGGTCTGTAGTTGTGA